GTTTCAGAATTGAGACAGTGGGATAATTCAAAGTGTTTTATTAAAAACAGCTTGGGCTGCGAATCCGCTACTATACTGTGTCATGATTTTATACAAAGATCTGACCCACATGCAGAAAACCAAACAGAGAGACCAGGGGAAGGTTTAACAGGTTTATTGAGAACTGGTAGAGATGGGTCCAGTGCTGCTCTGAACACTGGCGAACCGGGACTGAAAAGTTAAGGGGAAGTTCCTGTGGTTAGTTCAGGCTCAGTGGGAAAATTGAGCTTCGATTTGCAAAAGCAAATCCAGAAAAGCAGTCTTTCTCTGAATCCAGTCGGTGTGGGTTGTTCCAGTAATTCAATTGCTCGTTGGAGGGCGGACAGGGTTTACCCAGGTTGAGGAGTTTCCTTGAGGAATGGAGGAGCTGACTGCCGCTCAGAATTCCTATGGTACTTGAACGGTTCCTTGTGGAGATGAACCCCCTGCTCAGTCTGAACCTCAAACAATCCTTTGGGGAAAAGTAGATCCAAACCTCCAGTTTGAATCCCCAGCTCAGTTTGAAGCTCAGAGATCCTTCCAGGGGGGAGAAGGTCCAAACATCCAGTTTGCATATTGACTTCCTGCCGAGAGGCAAAGACAAACAACCACAAGGTTAAGACTCAGGTTGACAAAAACTCAGTTTAACTCAGCAAAACTCAGCTTGGCTAGAGTACCCAAAACTGGCAAACACTCTGGCGTCGAGGTAGTGGCAGTCAGCAGCTTAAGAGTCCTCAGGTAGTGAGGCAACAATCCGCAGGTGTTTGAGAGGGCCAACGAGAACCAGGCGCCACCTGGTGGTGGAGGGAAAACACACAAAAACACAACCCACACAAACTGGTTTCCTAACATACTGTATCAGCAGCTAGGTCGGTACTGATGGCTGGCCTAATTGCTCACTCTATTCACCAGTCTAACTCTGCCCAGTTGTTCATTACTGCTCATCTAATCCACCAAACTGCTTCTATTTATACGGCTCTGTCCCTGCCATCGTGGCCAGATTATTGATGCTCTTGTTCTAGTGCTCGTTCTCTGAGGCAAGTGGAGAAAGGGTTTTTAGCATTCTATGGTGTTCCTGATATACTGACCTGTTCTGCCTCTCAACCACTGAGCCTGCCTGTTCCCGTCTGAACGTTCTGCCATAACTATCCGTGGACTCCTGGAATCCTGAATCAGCCTGTTCCTGTTCCGGTCGGTGTCCCCGACGGGGCTTCAGACTCCTGGACCTCTAAGCCTTCCTGTTCTGATCTGCTTCCCTGACCTTTCTGGGACTCCTGCTTCTTCTCCAGGGCTGCAGCTTCAGGGACACTCGGGGCGGCGCCCGGCACATCTCGTTGGCAGCCCACTGAGTGGATCCTACCTTGTTTTCTGGAGATGGACTAAACTGTTTAACCAGGTTAGTCACTCGTATGGATAATCATCCTCTATGAAATTATCATGGTCACTAATCTGTGTTTTTTTTAAACCAGATTTTCCAGTGATGGGTGGCGCCTCGCCCTAGCCACTGATACCACATATCCACAGCCCATTCCTCAGTTTTAATAAACGCTTTGAATTATCCCACTGTATGTCTCGCCTTAAATACTAAGTCCTTCTGTCGTGTGTCATGACAATAACATTGAACAGCAAAGAACGTTTGTTTTTCTTGGTCTTTAAATGCTCTCTGATCACAAATATTGTGCATCATGTGGATCTGTTAGCTTTGTTCTTGTGAATAACTTT